GGTACGCACGAGTTGTATTTCTACTGTCCCATGCAGCGGAACACGCGGAAGCGTAATTTTTGCCTGCCAATAATATACGCTATTCCGATAGTTATAAAGTAGAATCTATAGGAAAGATTCTTGTAATTGGCCAGCGCCAATTGCGCTTCCGCAAATTCCGCACCATGGGACATTAGAAAATATTTTTCGTCGGAACATATTTGGCAGAATGCCTGTGATTGGATGGACTTCGTTCCGCCAATTCCGCATTGCGCACGTTCCGCGTCCATGGGATCGCACCATGATACGGGCTTTAATATTCCTGGTTCGTGGAGAAGTTTAATATATGCAGGTTGGCAACATTGGTAACATCGATAACGGATAAGAATGCGGAGTGCAGTCGCTTACCGTGAATTCTCTGGAATTCTCGCTGTAAATTCTCGATATGGATTGATGTGGATGTCTCGTCACCGTATGAATTAGCGAGAAAGCTGTTTAAGATTTAGACATGTAAGATAACAGTTTTATATACGGATCCAAATTTTTAACTGTCAAATTTTTAAGCTTGGTTATGAGTGTATAATATTATTTATTGTCATAACCCATTCAGCTCGATTATCTGCGAGTGGTTGATGCAAGTAAAGATGAGAATAACAACTTTAGAATGAGCGGTATAAAACAATAAAATTTCCTGCAAAACTGATGTGCAAAACGCAAACGTTTAAGCCTTGGCAATCATGTAAACATGTAAGTAACATTATTTTTAAGGGCTATGCAAAATTCAAATTTACTACTGTAAATGTTTTGCGACTTGTCCTGGCGTATTTATGATGTAATGCTTTCTTTAAGTTGTTAAGTTTAACGCGCAGATACGTAACAATATACAAAACAGTTGGTTAGAGTAGAAAGAAATTACGTTTCTAAGAATTTGTGTATTACAAATGTTTCCATGAATTGACAGCTTTAAGTACAAAAGATGCAAAACGGTGTAGGGCATTTTAGCATTCCCTTAAATTGCTTTCTAATTTTGTAAAACCTATATTGTTCCAAATGGTTTTAATGACGTTTAGATAAAGTGTGAAGAAATGTGCCATCTAAAGGAAACTTACAGAAAAATGATTTTACATGCACTTCTTGTTAGTTGATTGTACCATAGCATTACAGCATTGTTTGGAAACTTCGTGTGTTAATTTGTTAATTTGTTAATTTTATATAATATATCCCAGACAGCACACGATATCCTATGGATGTCCTGAGAACATTCTTAGGACATGAGGACGTCCAGAGGATGTCTTTAAAACGTCTTCAGGAGATCTGTGCTGTCTGGGATTTTATCTTAGTCTTGATATGAATTTTATTTCAATGTTCATATATGTATAAGCTGCAATCCATTTGAGGCTACACATACCTTGAAGTGCTTTTCTTTCTTCATTAAAAGAAAGGAGTGGAATGCTACAAACATTTGTAGTATTAAGTGGATTGTAGATATTATATCTGCTTCTATTGTGCTTCTATCAACTGAGAATTCAAAGTCACTTCTTCTTGTCTTGAATCATAGAAACAATTTCAGTCATTAAGATCGTCTAAATTACGATAGTTGTGAAATTATTGTCTATAAAACTTATTCAAAAAGAAAATTTTTATTATTAGAAATGACAATATGACGTTTAAGACTAAAAAGATTAAAACAAGGAATTTATGAAAGTAGATTAAACTAATGCAAAGAGAACTTAAAAATTATGTAAATTATTTATAAAATATTTAGTAGATGTTACAAAGAAAGAAAAGACAAATCTTATAATATTAAATATTATTATAATTTTATAGTGTGTATGTTAAGTGTTACTCAAATATGTACGCATGTGCACACGTGCGTGTGCGTGTACGTGTATGACAAATTGCATTTTCTATGAAGTATGCTATCTTTTTAGTTAATTATATTTCATTCTTATTTAAAAAATATTTTCTAGCAACATATTACATGAAGTATTCAAAACATTTTGTACATTACACAATGTTTGTTAATAGGTGTAAATCTGAAATGAATAGGCAGTGCAGGCAGGTTAGACTGAACAGAAAAATCTACTTCGCGATTATGACATTTACAAGGACTAGAGAACAGGAGGCTCAACTTATACTGGCGGATGCATCAGATTCTGAGCCCAAAATGGTTGTAGACGTTAGTACAAAATCTTAAAGGATGTATTGGACGTACAATCTTAGACAAAAGTGCATGAAATTGGAAATACTTAAATATCTACTCTTAACGTATAGTAAATCTAGATGTAAGAAACTTGAACGATAGTTGAAGTCTTATTTGTACTCCTACAAAGGTATTTTTCACTTTACAAATGTTTTTTCCTGAATTATTTGCGATTTTTTTCACTTATGAGCCTAAACTTTTGATAGTGAAAATACTCTGATTTCAATTCTTAATAACGTCAAATATTTTCAAAAGTAAAAAATTCGTGCCGACAGCACGAATATTTCAAGTTATATTTTATTATATTTTATTTCTTTAAAACGGTTCAGTAAAGACTATTGAAACTTGGTAGATAATTTCATAGATGTATAAAAAAAATTCAAAACACTGGTACTATTTCTTCTACATTTTTTAGCTGTGTTATCCGTGAAGATCGGCTTTTCCCATAAGAGTATGTGTAAAATCAGTGTAAATTAAAATAGTTATATCTCAGCAACCGTTTAGTGGATGCATTTTTACTTTTCTGCAATAAATTAGGAAGACTAAAAGAACAATTTCACAAATTTTTAGCGACTTCGTACTATTTTGAAGATAGGTCCGATACATCCTTAAGGGGGAGGTACACTTAAAGCCTAACAAATAGGTAATTTTTCAACATTTTTTAAATATGTAGATGTAAAAACAAACTAAATAATGCCTTTTTAAAAATTAAATTTGAACTTTATACAATACATAAAAATTTTTATCAAATACTTTTTTGATAGTAATACTGAAAAGCAGCACATCGTAGCTAGCGTTGCACGAAATACATGGGAGACTGGTTGACAGGATTCCAGCTACAATTGTTATCCAAAATAAACGACAGCGCTTATTATACAGACTAGTCGCTATAGTTCATCAAGCTGGATTTTTGAAAAATTGATTTTTCAAG